TTATAATAAAATATCAAATATAATATATATGGTAAACTATAATTTATTACTAAATATCCTTAACACCCCACCGCAAGTTAAGCGTCGGATTTAAACGAACGTGAAGCTTGAATCTGAAAAATTCAAAGAGGTTGAGAAACACTTTTCTTGAAGAAGTCAACAACCTGGTTCAGAGGAGGCGTAGAGAAACACTTTCTTGGCCATCGAAAATTGCAGAGGAATCGCCGCTCAGCGGCAATGCTGCCTTGGCTTCGGCGAGAATATGTCTAACCCATGAAGAGGGATTGTCGCTTAGCGACGATGCTGCCTTGGCTCTGGTGAGAATATTTCTAACCCCAAGAAGTAGAAGGGGAAACCTAGAGCAAGGGACAAAGACAATGTTGAAGCCGGAAGAGTCGCCACATTGGGCGAAGGAGCCAATTTTGGCGAGAAGGACAGTCGGAAGAGTCGCCTCATCGGGCGAAGAAGCCAATTTTGGCAGGAAGGGCGGCGACAACTTGGTTGGCGAATAGGCCAGTGCGGCACCCAGATTTCGAAGGTAAATCTCTGCAAAAGGTTGATAGGTTTAGGTTAGGGTTTATGTGAAGGATGAAGGTTGATTGGGAAGAAAATGAGAGAGACTATATTGGCCAAGGGGAAAACCGATTGGGTTGGAAAAGGTGAGGTTGTATGTACAGAGTATGACAAAAAGTGATTTGGAGGTCAATAGGGTGGAGCCGAAGAGTAATCAATCGGCTCCGACTACGACAGCCATGAAGACTGCCCCTGCGGCGTCAAAACCAGCAGGGGTGGTGGAGAAGAAGATTAGAGGATTCAAAAGCCATTGAAAAGAAAGGATCGGGGTTGTTAAACCGAGAGGGCTCTGATACCATGTGAATGTTTGATTAATCCACCACATCTAAATGGTGTGAAAGTTATCTTATTTATAATCAAATGAATTACAAGGATATGGAAATAGTAATAAATGGAAAGATACTTATGATAATAAAGCAAATATTAGATATTTGACTTATAATAAAATATCAAATATAATATATATGGTAAACTATAATTTATTACTAAATATCCTTAACATTCTTGCATACATACTACACACTATAGTCATTGTTAGTCACGACTTGAGGTTAAACTTTTTTTTGGGTCGTGACACGGGCCCACCTGGAATGGGACTTCTTCGTTCTCCACCAAAGCTGCGCAGGAAAGGCCCAAAGCCAATCCTAAGGAATAGTGAAGCTTCAAACAATATTGAATCACGTATTAATGTATTAATTAATTTTTTGATCCAATCATATTTTTTTTTGGCACACGGATAAAAGGTCAAAATAATATTGAAATTTTCAAGAGAATGAAAATATTTAGAAAATACAAAATCATTTATTAATGATTATTTCGAATTTTTAAAAAATAAATTAAAACCAATTTAATACTTAGAAAATTCAAAATCAAATCACTCGTATCATATTAATAATTATTTGGATTTTTAAAAATAATTTAAAACCAATTTAATATTTAATTATAAATATGTATATTTTCTTTTTCTCATTTTTCGATTTTAAATCAATTCTTCGATCGTGCATTTTAATTAACAGAGAAACAGGGTAGTTGAGTTTTCACCGTAGAACTCGGCCACATTGCTGTCTGACGGGTTACGCGGCTCCCGAGAAATCCAATTGCAACGGCGGTTCGCTCCCTTTCCGGTCTCTGCGAAGTCAGACTCACTGTGTTCACGACGAACGCTTCTTTACATTAGATTTGAGAGCGTTTCCGATTCGCCATGATCCCCAACTTCGTTTTCCTTTCAGGTACGTGCACTCATTCCAATTCAATTATGATTTTCTACAAACCCTAGATCTCTTTCCATCTTCGTCTCTCTTAGCATTTCTGATTTCATCGATGAATATGCGTCACATCACTTCATTTGTGCAGGTTAAACGAATTTGACCTGATTTTCGCTTCGTTCAAGAGTAATGGTTTGATTCCTTTCATCTGATTGGTCTTCGTTTTCGTGTTCTTGTTCGGATTATTTACAATGCATCTGGATTCGTTGGGCTGGTGTTCAATCGATTTCCTCCCTCCCCTGGAGTTCTTTCTTGGCTCGTCTTAGGAGTTTTTCCCTTTTCGATTACTTGATCGTTTCTGCCATATCATTTCCGATCGTTGTCTCAGTCGTCGCTTTCGGATTCTTTCTTTTCGTTTGTTTTCATAATGGCCTATTCAGCGCAGTCTTCCCCTGGATTCTCTGCCAACTTCCCAGCCCCGCTATCCGATACTCCAACGCCTAGCGCTGAGACAAATCCAATGCCTTCGCCTTTAATCTCGACAGGAACGTCAAGATTTCCTCCAAATTTCCAACCGGATCGGATGCCATCTCCTTCCATCAGAACGCCAGCCGCACCCTCATCGGCAAATGGAATTAAAACTGGCAGTCCCATTCCTCATTTGAGTACTCCCCCTGGACCTCCTATTTTTACTTCTCCCATCCGGCCTGCTGCTGTGCCCTTTCGTACTTCACCGGCATCTCCCCAGGCAATTGTCTTCTCTTCTGGTTCGTCCTTACCAGCTTCTACACCTCCACATTTTTTGAATGCATCGACCGGGTTGCAACACCAGATATCTGATGTTTCAGAGGACTCGGTGCCTCTTGGGGAATCGCCATATGTTCTATTTTCTTCGCAGAAGGTATTGCTTTTTATGTTTTTTTCCCTGCTTTGTTACAATGAATGATGAAAGTTAGGTTAACTGTTCACTCTAATTCTGACTGCTAACCTCAGTTGATTCAATGATTCCTTCTATTTATATATTTTGTAAGCAAATTCCATGGTCATGACCTTTTTATTTTTCTAAAATTAAGTTGGCATTAATGTTGTAATCTACTTCTTTCTGAAACTTGATACAGGTGCTGAAGCAGAAGAAACAAGCTAATGTTCCTAGTTTGGGTTTTGGAGCACTAGTTTCTCCTGGGAGGGAGGTTTCATCAGGTCCTCAAGTAATACAGCGTGAGCCCCATCGTTGCCCGAGCTGTGGAGCTTATTCGAATCTGTATTGCAATATCTTAATTGGTTCAGGTCAGTGGCAGTGTGTAATTTGTCGGAAGCTGAATGGAAGCGAGGGGGAATACGTAGCGCCAAGCAAAGAAGATCTTTGTCATTTTCCGGAACTGTCATCATCTATGGTTGATTTTGTGAGAACTGGGAGCAGGAGACCAGGATTTATTCCAGCTTCTGATTCAAGAACGTCTGCACCCGTTATTCTGGTTATTGACGAGTCTTTAGATGAGCCTCATCTGCAGCATCTCCAGAGCTCCTTGCATGCTTTTATTGATTCAGTTTCCCCCACAACAAGAATTGGAATTATACTGTATGGCCGTACTGTATCAGTATATGATTTTTCAGAAGAATCTGTTGCCTCTGCTGATGTGCTTCCTGGTGATAAATCGCCAACACCGGAGTCTTTGAAAGCGTTAATTTATGGAATGGGGATATATTTATCACCAATGCACGCCTCACTCCCTGTAGCACATACAATAATTTCATCACTGAGGCCTTACAAATCAAGCATTCCAGAAGCCTCTAGAGATAGGTGCCTTGGTACTGCAGTTGAAGTTGCTCTTGCCATAATCCAAGGACCTTCTGCTGAAGTTTCTCGAGGAGTGGTTAGAAGGTCGGGGGCTAATAGTAGAATTATTGTGTGTGCTGGTGGACCTAATACATTTGGCCCTGGGTCAGTTCCCCATTCTGTCGGTCACCCAAATTACCTGCACATGGAAAAAACTGCTTTAAATTGGATGGAACATCTTGGGGGTGAGGCTCATCGACAAAATACGGTGGTTGATATTCTATGTGCTGGAACTTGCCCTGTAAGAGTTCCTATCTTGCAGCCTCTTGCAAAAGCTTCTGGTGGTGTTTTGGTTCTTCATGATGACTTCGGGGAGGCCTTTGGTGTAAACTTGCAGAGGGCATCTGCTAGGGCTGCAGGCTCTCATGGTTTATTAGAAGTACGATGTTCTGATGACATTCTAATCACCCAAGTTGTTGGTCCGGGGGAAGAGGCACACGTTGACACACATGAAACCTTCAAAAACGACACCTCTCTTTACATTCAAATGCTAAGTGTAGAAGAAGCCCAAAGCTTCTCACTCTCCATGGAGACTAAGAGAGATATAAAGAGTGATTTTGTATTTTTCCAGTTTGTTGTACAATATTCAAATGTTTATCAAGCTGACATATCAAGAGTAATGACTATTCGATTGCCTACTGTTGATAGCTTATCAGAATATCTTGGAAGTGTTCAAGGTGAAATAGCTTCAGTCCTTATTGCCAAGAGGACTGCCTTGCAAGCTAAAACCCAGTCTGATGCAGTAGAGATGCGGGCTACAATAGATGAAAGAGTAAAAGATATTGCTTTGAAATTTGGGACCCCGTCACCGAAGTCAAAAAATTATCGGTTTCCCAAGGAACTATCTTCAATGCCGGAGCTTCTGTTCCATTTGAGAAGAGGCCCTCTTCTTGGAAGCATTGTTGGTCATGAAGATGAAAGGTCTGTATTGAGACACTTGTTTTTGAACGCATCCTATGAACTTTCCCTCCGCATGGTAGCCCCTCGCTGTTTAATGCACCGGGAAGGGGGTACTTTTGAAGAGCTTCCAGCATATGACCTAGTTATGCAGTCAGATGCTGCTGTTGTTCTTGACCATGGAACAGATGTGTTCATTTGGCTGGTATGCTACCACTTACTTTACCTTCTTTTGTTAATTTTTTTTTTTGCCTTTCTTCTTCAGTTTATGATATTACAGCATCATCTTTAATTTCTTGCTGGAAATGCGACCATTGGTATTTTTGTCTTGAAAATCAAGTGCTATGTGATAGTTTTTTCTTTACTTGGAAAGCCTGTTCACTGGAATATGATTTGAGTACCAGTTCTAATCAACAGAAAAATAGTTGAGAACAAAGGGAAAATTTTATATTCAATAAACTCATCCATAACTTTCAATTTCCTGAGAATTTTCCAATAACAAAAACTATAATGTAGGAGAATAGATACGACCATTTTGCCGGTTTGAAGTTTTCTCTTATATATTTAGAAGCTATTGTTTATTTACTATAATGAATATGTTTTTTCAAGTGTATTGCAACTCAAATATATATTAATTTAAAACTAGTGAAGATGAAAAACAATTGAATGCTGATGAACATTAGCAATACCTGATAGTTTCCAACGATAATACTAGTTTTTTCATGAAAACATTTTCTGTAAAGTACATTAAATGAACTCTTAAATGCCAGATGAACAGGCACATAGATAGGGAAGGAGTGTACTCTCCTCGCCCGCTTTTCTAATCTGTACTTTGATTATTCCTATTCTTCATAGTCATAGCCTTGAAATGTTCTGAACTTTTTTGTCATTCAAATATTCATCTTCTAATTCGTTTTCCTTTTTGTTATTGGTGTACTTAGGGTGCTGAGCTTGCAGCTGAAGAAGGAAAAAGTGCAGCTGCTTTAGCAGCTTGCAGAACACTAGCAGAAGAGCTTACTGAAACAAGGTTTCCGGCTCCCAGGATTCTTGCATTCAAGGTTTGTGTCGCTATAGATGCTATATGTTTCTCACGTTGTGGTTTTTTTTAATTATCAATTTCTCTGCCGTAATGAAAGAGTTCTGCTCTTTTCTTATTTTTGTCCATTGGATCGTGTTTGTTGTTCCCTTTTCTGGACACTTTTTTTTTTCATAAGTTCGCCTCCCTTGATGGAAGGGTTACTGTTTCTCTCTCTTTCTCTTCAAAAGGCTCTCTACAATAACGATAACCCATTTAATTTGAAGCAGGAGGGGAGCTCTCAGGCTCGGTATTTTGTTTCTCGGCTGATACCAGCACACAAGGACCCTCCTTACGAACAGGTGAGCATGAAAGAATAAAAGATATAACCCATTGTTCATGATTCTGATGATCTGATTCGACTTGTAAAGATTCAGGATGGGGTCGTTTGATTGTAAAGGATGGTACTCCGTTGCAATTAAATAACTGTGGGGTCGAGTCGTTTGATTCGACTCGACGCTAACAGATTCTTAATTTGATTGGTGCAGGAGGCGAGATTTCCACAACTTAGAACATTGTCCACAGAGCAGCGGACAAAGCTGAAAAGTAGTTTTTACCACTTCGATGATCCCAGTTTCGTTGAGTGGATGCGAAGTTTGAAGTTGATCCCACCAGAACCAAGTTAAAAGTAGTAAGTAGTAGGATTCTTGTCTTTTCTTCTCTACTTTCTTTTCAAACTTCTCTTTATTTTTTAGTGGTGTCTGTTGGCGGTTATAGGATCTTTCTCCTTCCACCCACCCTTTCCTCTCCCTCTTCTTCTTCTACAGGAAAATTTCATACCGACTGAACAAATTCGGCATTTTGTATTTTGCTCTTACGGACGGTTACAATAAGCCCTTTTGGACTAACAATTATTCCATGCTTTTACATGCTAACGTTCAGGGAAGGGTTACTAATATGTTTAGCTCGCTGTTAAAGTTTATGATATAAGCTCGAATCCGAGTGGTTTTGTTATAATGAACACAAATAAGAAGAAAAGAAGGTGGGTTATGCACCTCAAATTTTGATTTATAAAATCTCTTAATGGACGTTATAAATTATATTTCTTTTTATGATGGATTCTTAAAAATTACAAATGCCATTAAGTTACGAGACGATAGGATCATATTACTATGTAGAAAATTAACGGGTTTGCTATTTTGTACTTTAACTTTAAACCATCGAGATGGACTCTCACACTATGATTTGGAGACAATGAGAAGTTTGCTAGTTTATCATTAATCAGGATATGTCAAATCAAAATCAACATTGGTTAGATTAAGATGAATGACTAAAAATAGAAGTTGTAGTTCAAGAAGATCTTGGTTCAGATCACTTTTGTGGTATTAAACTAATCACAACCTCTGTGGCTATAGAGACCTATATTTGAATTCCAATAGCCACATCTGACTTTCTTTTTCTAAGTCTCTAGGAAAGTAATGGTTTGGTATGGTTCTTGTTCTACCGGAACAGAATTCAGGCCAACATGATTAATGGTAGATGATGAAGAATGACAAGCAAAATATTGAAGTGGTTGTAGTTTAGTGGTGAGATTTCCACGTTGTGATCGTGGAGACCTGTCCTTGAATCCTAGTAGCCACATTTGACATTTATTTTCTAATTCTTAATAACATAAGGATGAAAATTAAAGGGGATCGGATACGAAACATTGTTATGTTTTTTGCTACATCCACAAATATGTAATGGTCTGGTATGGTCCTTGTTCCACTTCAAATATAGTAGAGTGGTTGTAGTTTAGTGGTGAGAATTCCACGTTGCCCCCATGGGGACTAGTCCCAGCAGCCACATTTGACATTAGTTTTCTAATTCTCCTTAACATAAGGATGAAGGACACAAAAAGTTGTTATGCTTTTTGCTACATCCACAAATACGTAATGGTCTGGTATGGTCCTTGTTCCACCTCAAATATAGTGAAGTGGCTGTAGTTACATTGTGGCTGTACTAAACATTGTTATGCTTTTTGCTACATCCACAAATACGTAATGGTTTGGTATGGTCATTTTTTCCATCTTAAATATGATGAAATAACTGTAGTTTAGTGGTGAGAATTCCACATTGTGGTTGTGGTTGTGGAGACTTGGGATCGAATTCGAACAGCCACATTTGACTTTAGTTTTCTTATTCTCAATAATGTAAGGATGAAAATTAAAGGTGATCGGACAAGAAACATTGTTATGCTTTTTGCTACATCCACAAATACGTAATGGTCTAGTATGGTCCTTGTTCCACCACAAATATGGTGAAGTGGTTGTAGTTTAGTGGTGAGAATTCTATGTTGCGGCTATGGAGACTTGGGCTCGAATCCAAGCAAGCCACATTTGACATTTGATGGTCCGGTCCTTGTTCCACCTCGAATAGATAAGCCCACAACTCACCCTTTCTAATGATTAGTTGTATAGGAGTGGTTGTAGTTTAGTGGTGAAAATTCATTGTTGTGGTCTTGAAGACAAGGATGAAACGTAGTGTTACGATATTGAGTTCTAATTGGATCGAACATTAAACATTTGTTTTCTAATTGGATCAGACACATGCCAATGAGTTACGAGATGATACGATCATGTTATACTATGTTGGGAACTATAAAAAGTTTGCTTATTTATCTTAACCTTGAATTGTAAGACGGGCTCTCAAAGTATTGTATGTGGAGATATCTAGAGACTTGCTAGCTTATCCTTAATCATGAACAATCAAAATAAGATCAACGTTAGTAATGAATGATGAGTTGATAAATGAGCCCCAACCAAGAGTCTATATTATGATGAATGTTTGGTTAAATATCAAAGTGGTCGTAGTTTAGTAGTAAGAATTCCATGTTGTGGCTGTGAAGACTTAAGCTTGAATTCCAACAACCACATTTGTTTTTTTATGCCCACGAGTTACAAGATGATACGATCATGTTACTATGTAGAAAATGGTAAAGAGTTTTCTAGCTTAAACCTTAACCGTCAAGATGGACTCTCATCGTACTCTATTAATATATGATATGGACAATTTCAAGTTGTAGTTTAACCTTAACCGCAAAAAAAAAAAAAATTAAACTATGATGAATGATGGGCTAAATATCGAACTAGTTGCAGTTTAATGGTGAGAATTTTAAGTTGTGACTATGGAAGCTTGGGCGATTAGTAGCCACATTTGTTTTTAATTCTTAAAAACATTACTTTTATTTTTGAATTAAATAGGTTGCCATTAAAAAGTGAAATGGAGTTTTGATGAAATAATTTTTTAAAGCTATTTTCTTAAAAATAACACATGCCCATGAGTTAAGGGATGATATGATTATGTTAGTAGGAAACGGTCAAGGGTTACTTAGTTTACCTTAACCATAACCCGGGCAAACTTGACAATGTACCAAATCCCTAGCAAGGATTAAGGTTGCAAACATGCACGAGTTACTGGAAGTGAAGAACCTTGAACAATTTCAAGTTTCATTAACCATTTTACCTTCATTAACAGGGCTCCATTTCTGTCGAATATGTTGAAGAACAAACTGATTAACTCCATTATGCTACCTTTTTCTATCATTTGACCAAGGTCAATAACATTAATATTTAAACTTGGGATGTAATATATCTTGGTCGATAATGTTGATCGTCATTCTTACACTAGAACCAGATGGATCCTTTGCCTTGGATCAATACAATTGATATGTTGCAAAGTTTCACATTTCCAATGAACTTCTTATCAAGCTCCTTGAACGTTTTCCGATATTCAGACATGTGGTTGCTTGCTCTATTGTCTAGGTACTACATGTTGGTCTCCACTTGGTCTTCTCCATCTACGAAGGGGTTCACCATAACCTTCTTTTCATTGAGCATCTTCTCTGCCAACATAAGTGCGGACTCTTCGTCATTTGTGGATGTGAGATTTGTCTCCTCATTTTGCTTCTTGTTGTAGCATTTTACCATAGGAATCAATGAATGATGGCTAAATATCCAAGTGGTTGTAGTTTAGTTGTGAAAATTATACGTTGGGGCTGTGGAGACCTGGACTCAAATTCTAGCAGCCACATCTACTTTTTTTTAGCTATGAACCATTGAAGCATATAACTTAACTCAAAACCAGAGCTTTTATAAACAACCTAGTGAAGCATATTAGAATTATTTTGTTTATCCTTAATCATGAAAGTGATGAATGATGGCTAAATATCCTAGTATCTGTAGTTTAGTGGTAAGAATTCCTTGGTTTGGAGACCTGGGCTTAAATACCAATAGCCACATGTACATTTCACGTTGTGGTCGTGGAGACGTGCTTTTTTTTAGCTACGAACCATGAACAAACTGGTGAAGCAAATAGATTTTTTTTTTTTTTTTTTTTTTTTTTTTTTTTTTNAAATAGATTTTTTTTTTTTTTTTTTGTTTTTTTTCTGTTTTTCCTTAATCATGAAAGTGATGAATGATGGCTAAACATCCAAGTTACAGTTTAGTGGGGAGAATTTCATGTTGTGGCTGTGAAAATCTAGGCTCAAATCCACAATAGACGTATGTGATCCACCTCAATGAGTTACAAGATGCCCTCTATTTTTGGATTGGATCTCATGATATGAGATGGAATGAATTAGAAGTTTTCTTGTTTATCCCTCAATCATGAGCCGTCAATACGTTGGTCTCCACTTTGTCTTCTCTAACGCATATACTTGTATTTTTTTACAAGAGTAACACTTATCATACTCTTATCCTTCCAGTGATTTGTATCGTTATGGGTTTGTGAGGTATTTTTACGGCTCCTCTGTTGCCACGTTTGCGACCACGCCTACAACCTTTACCTTCCTTTTGTGGACGCCATGTCCCTTCGTACCTGAAAATGAAGAATCAACCACATCTTTCTTTTTAAAATTTTCATGAATCACGAGGGAACATCTCGAAGGAACTTCTTGAGAATGAAGATCTATTCCACCTTGTCACGTAACAAACAGATGCTAGTGACGATTTTCGTCAACTTCATGACAAATTCGAACATTTTTCTTAAGACACACTTGCTAGAAAACAAGCAAAGTAGTCTGTCTATGCGATGATCCTATATGATGTTTTAGATTGCATACATTGAAATGGAACTTATTGGAAAAGGTAAGGAAGGAAATTTGAAAGAGATATCCGTTTGAAAAAATTATGATATGTAATTGACAGTATAAAAAGGGAGGAACTTTGTGGGAAGAAATCCTACTTTCATTAGGATCCTGACTTAGAAGTTAATATAAATGTTTATCGATCTTGTAACATACTTAGAAGTTAAATTTTTTTATCCTGTATGTGCATATAAGTTAACATGCACATTTATCGACCATGTTGCAAAGTTACTCTTTGTGAGTAACGGATACATGAGCGTTACTTCCCTCCCTTTCGAGTGATGTAATAAATTGTATTTCTACTACTAGTACATAATCATGTTAAATCAGAGGATAAAAATTTATATATCTGTGTTTTATGTTCTAGGTACTTTATGGATGTCAACATCCCGTTGAGCATGTATGACTATATGCATGATTGATTGTACATTAAATCCAAGTGGTTCAATCTGCGATCCTCTCTATAGAGAATAAGTAATAGAAAATGTTTCAGAGTAGAGTGAGAGCGTCAGTTTGGCTAGACGATGGCTTATGATGGAATGCCTCCGGTAGACAGAGTGCATTAGAATTGTGAGAGATGATCTGAGGGTGTGGCTCTTGTACTCTTGACCTATCCAAACTCGAGGAGTCAGAACAGAAGAACTTGAAAATGTGAATCCATGTCAAGATCGTCAAACCATCATAGAATGATGAGCAGGTTAGCACATGTACGATACCTTTCCGCTCTAGTACGATACTGTTAAGCTAGGCATGAGACTTCTTAAGGATGTGTGACTTGATAGTTTAAGTGGATTAACCTGCATGGTGGATCCGTCCTATAGGTGGGTGTTGATCTGTGGATAGTTAGTGGAGCTCTTACCCTTCTAGGGATTTGTATCGTCCTGAGTTTGTGAGGTATTTTCACGGCTCCTCTGTTGCCACATTTGCGACAACACCTACAACCTTTACTTTCCTTTTTCGTCATATCCCTTCGTACCTGAAAAATGAAGAATCAATCACATCTTTCTTTTTTATTCGTGCGAGTCACTCCTCATGTGTGAGTAAGACATGCTTCTCCTCATCTTTGTCTTCATAGCCACAAAGTATCTTCTCATGGACCTTAAGACGACCATCGACCTCCTCAGCCGTCATGTTCTTAAGGTCGTTAATTTTCTTGATGGAGGTAACAATTTGCATGAATCTCAAGGGAAGATCTCGTAAAAAATTCTTGACGATGAAGATATTTTCCACCTTGTCATGTAACGAACAGATGCTAGTGGCGATTTTCGTCAACTTCATGGCAAATTCGAACCCTTTTTCTTAAGACACACTTGTTAGAAAACAAACAATTTAGTCTGTCTATGCGATGATCCTCTACGATTTTCTAGATTGCATACATTGAAATGGAACTTATTAGAAAAGGTAAGACAGGAAATTCGAAAGCAATATCCATTTGAAAAAAATTTGTTCTTGTAATTGACCGTAGGCTTTATTCATTATTCATTATTCAGCAAGCAGTTCATGAGACTATCTTCTCACGAATTGCAACAGCAACCACATCAAAGCAGGCATGGTCAATTCTACAGAAGAAGTTTCTAGGAGATTCAAAGGTCATGACAGTGAAATTGCAATCTCTAAGACGTGATTTTGAAACTCTACTCATGATGAATGGCGAATCAATTGCTGATTTTTTGTCAAGAGAAATGGCAATAGTCAGTCAGATGCGTACCTATGGAGAGAAAATTTTAAACGAAACAATTGTTGCAAAGGTGTTGAGAAGCTGACTCCAAAGTTTGACCATGTGGTGGCTGCCATAGAAGAAGCTAAGGATCTATCCATACTCTTCATTGATGAATTAATGGGCTTGCTTCAGGCCCATGAGGCAAGAATCAATAGAGTATTAGAAAGGAACGAAGAAAAGGCACTACAGGTGAAGGAGACAACCAACAACGAAAACAACGAAAGAGAAAATATTCATTTAGCAGGTAGAAGTCATGGAAGAGGAAGATTTCGCAGCTTCCATGGTGGTCGTGATAACATGGGTAGATGGAGAAGTGATGGACAAAGACAATTCAATGAACAAAGGAATGTCATACAATGTTACCATTGCAGAAGGTATGGGCACACAAAATCTGATTGTTGGTATAAAAATCAACGAATAAATTTTGCAGCAGAGAATGAAGAAGAAGAAGAAAAGCTGCTTATGGGGTGCATGGATACTAATCCAAAAAAGAGTGACTTATCGTTTGTTGATAGCGGATGCTCGAACCATATGACAGACACCAAATCTTTATTCAAAGAGCTTGATGAGACGCAAAAAATTAAGGTGCAATTTGGAAACACAAAAGAGATGCAAGTTGAGGGAAAAGATACAGTGAAAGTCGAAACCGGTCATGTTAAGATAAAACAATTAGATAATGTTCAATTTGTACCTGATTTAGGGTATAATTTATTGAGTGTTGGAGAATTGATGACCAGAGAACATTCAGTTCTATTTGATGACAACACATGTGTCATTACACATAAGAAATCAGGTCATAAAGTTCAAATTGCCATGACTTCAAATAAAATGTTTCCACATCATATTTCTAACATGGAGGATCTTGCTCTTGCTGCTAGCACGAAAGATGACTCAACATTATGGCATCTCAGATATGGACATCTTCATATGAACGACTTGAAAATACTCAGGAATAAAGGTATGGTTTTCGGATTACCAAGAATTGACTCAACTAATTTATGTGAAGGATGCATTTATGCTAAGCAGACTAGGAAGTCATTTCCTATTGGAAAAGCTAGAAGAGCTTCACATTGTCTAGAACTAATTCATGCTGATTTATGTGGGTCAATGCAAACGAAGTCCTTGGGTGGGAGTATATATTTTTTACTATTTATTGATGATTATAGTCGCATGAGCTGGGTTTACTTCCTACAACATAAGTCAGAAACTTTTCAGAAGTTCCAGATTTTTAAAGCTATGGTAGAGAACCAAAGTGGCTGTCACATTAAAGTTCTTCGAACAGACAGAGGTAGCGAGTTTATATCTAAAGAGTTCAATCTGTTTTGTGAAGAAGAGGGCATCCAAAGGGAATTAACAGCTCCCTACACCCGAGAACAAAATGGAATCGCTAAACGAAAAAATCGAACTATTGTGGAGATGGCAAGAAGTATGTTACAAGCAAGGAGACTTCCAAACCAATTTTGGGCAGAAGCCGTAGCAACATCTGTTTATCTATTAAACATCTCACCAACAAAGGCGGTTATAAATCAAACTCCTTATGAAGCATGGCATGGAAGGAAACCATCTGTAAGTCATTTACGAATCTTTGGTTGTGTTGCTTATGCTTTGAAACATTCTCAAATTCGTCAAAAGCTTGATGAAAAATCTGAAAAATGCATTTTCATTGGCTATTGTACTCAATCAAAGGCATATAAATTATAAACCCCATCATTGAAAAGATTTTAGTTAGAGGGATGTAATATTTAATGAAAACGTGCGTTGGGATTGAAGTAAAGAACAGGAGCAGGAAAAGATTACAGTTGAAGTTTCTCTAAATGAAGAGACAAAGATCAACTCCAGTGCATCTCCTAGTGCCTCCACTGCAACACAAAATGTGTCAAATTCATCATCTTCAGCATCACTAAACAGCGATTCTTCTCTTGAAGAACTTTCGAATGAGACACCTCCAAAGAAGTATAAATTTTTAACTGACATATATGCATCATGTCAATTTTCTCTTACTATTTCAGATACTATGAGTTATGAAGAAGCAGTTGAAAAAGAAGAGTGGAAGAAAGCCGTGGTAGAAGAGATGCAGTCCATTGAGAAAAATGGAACATGTGAGATGGTTAACTTAGCAAACGAAAAAAATGCAATCAATTTGAAATGGATGTTCAAGACAAAATTTGCACTAGATGGAAGCATACAAAAACATAAGGCCCGTCTTGTAGCAAAAGGGTATGCACAACAACAAGGTATAGATTTTGAAGAAACTTTTTCTCCAGTAACTCGTTTTGAAACTGTAAGAACTATTCTAGCATTAGCAGCAGAATTGCGGTGGCCGGTTTATCAGTTTGATGTTAAGTCAGCATTTCTTAACGGAGATTTACAAGAAGAGGTTTATGTAGCACAACCAGAAGGATTCATAAAGAAGGACAAAGAAACAAAGGTATACAAGTTGAGAAAGACATTATATGGATTAAAGCAGGCCCTATATGGGTCTATTACACTATTTGCAAGATTGATGAGTATTTTCAAAAGAAAGGATACATGAGAAGTATTTTCAAAAGAAAGGATACATGAGAAGTGAGAATGATCCTACTTTATATGTGAAACAGGAAGGTAAAAGTGATTTCATCATTATTTGCCTCTATGTTGACGATATTATTTACACTAGCTCTTCTAACTCTCTTTTGGATAAATTTAAGTCTCAAATGATGAGTGAATTTGAGATATTAGATATTAGTCTATTACACTATTTTCTTGGTCTTGAAGTATATCAAGTTGAGGATGAAATTTTTATATTTTCTTGGTCATTTTTATTTCACAAAGAAAATATGTCAAAGATATTATGAGTAAATTTGGTATGCTTAATTGAGGATGAAATTTTTATATTTTCTTGGTCGTTTTATTTCACAAAAGAAAATATGCCAAAGATATTATGAGTAAATTTGGTATGGAACATGATGATGGAGCAGAAATGACAGATGCTAGAAGTTAACATACATGTTTATTGATCATGCTACTGCTACCTAGTTACTCTTTGTGACTTGATATTTTAGATAGATTACCCTGCACGATTGTGGAAGGCTTGATAGTTTAGAGGCAAGAGTATATTGTGGTATCTTTGCTAGGTAGAGATGCAATAACAAAGATGCAATGAGAGCCTACATGAGCATTTGTAGCAATTTAATTTATAATGGCCATATATAGGGATCGAAACCCACGACTACGTGGTTAAAAGCTACGCACTCTACCACTGAACCAAAATACCCCTCTTAGATGAGGAGGATGCTAGAACCTATTACTAATAAGCTAAGAAGGCTTGACGATGAGAGTAAATTGTGGTGTCTTTACTAAGCCAATGTCTACCACTAAACTTGGCTAACCATTATAGATCTGGGTATATTTGTATTAGGTATATATTGATATGTCATAAGATAAAGAATCATTCATCGAGTACTTTTGCAACTAAAAATAATTTATAGCACCATATGTGGGGATCGAACCCACAACCACATGGTTAAAAGTCACGCACTCTACCACTAGGCTAAGATGGCTTGTCACAACCATGCTAGCACGTGTTGTCCCCACTTGTTGGAGAGAGTTATTTGAGGCAGAAAAAAAGTGACGATAAGAGTAAACCATGGTATCTTTGATAGGTCAAAGATGCGAGAGCCTACAAATGAGTATTGTTTATTGGATATACCCATATTTTGTATTAAGTTGGTGGTATATATTGATATGTCCTAAAGAATATTCTCGAAACAAAGAGTTTAGAGTTCTTTGCAGATATCTAATTTATAGCACAATCAAAGAGTTTAGAGTTCATTGCAGATATTTTTAATTTATAGCACAATCAAAGACTATTCTCGAGACAAAGAGTCCATGACCACGTGGTTAAAAGCCATGCACTCTACCACTGAGCTAAGATGGCTTATCAAAACTATGGTAGCACATGTTGTCCCCACTTGTTAGAGAAAGTTTTTTGAGGCAGAAAAAAATGATGATGAGTAAACCCTGGTGTCTTGCTAGATCAAGGATGTGATGAAAGCCTACAAATGAGTTGTGTTTGCTAGGTATATTTATATACTCTATATCATGCCCATAGTTCAAAGATTGGAATTGAAAAGTTTACTAGATCTGATTTCGATTTTTGGAAGATTCAAATTGAAGATTATTTGTACCAGAAATATCTTCACGAATCCCTATTGGGTGTGAAGCTGAATATCATGATCACGAAATAGTGGAAGCTCAAGAATCATCGGGCCCCAAGATTGATCAGGTTGACGTTGTCTAGAAACGTGGCATTCAACATAATCAAGGAGAAGAAAACGTCAGATCTATTGAAGGCGTAGTCAAATATGTATGAAAAATCGTCGACTATGAACAAGATGTATTTGATCCGGAAGTTGATTTTCAAATGTCTGAAAGGTGTATCTCTTGAGGATGATATAAATGAGTTCAATATGATTGTAAGCCAATTGAGTTTCGTGGAAATTAATTTTGAAAGTGAAATTAAAGTATTGATTTTGATGTCATCTTTACCTGAGTCGTGGGATACAGTTGTTGTCGCAATCAACAATTTTCGAGGATCTAAGAAACTGAAGTTCGATGAAATTTGAGATGTAGTTCTCAGGGAAAGTATTTGCAAATGAGAAATTGAGAGGAAGCATAATCACAAATCATAAGTAAATGAAGTGCAAAAAAAAAAAAGTCATCAAAATCAAAGATCCGAGAAAATTATCAAAATAGACCAAACGTAATGTGTTGGAGTTGTGGAGAAAAAGTCACTTTTGGACAATTGTACAAGACCAAAGAGAAAGCATAATCACAAATCAGAAGATGATGACGATTCTATAAATTCGGTTGAAGACATTGGGGATGCTCTAATTCTCAACGTGGACAGTCCGATTGAATCCTGGATTTCGGATTCAAGTGCATCTTTTCATTCATCTCCAAATAAAGAGCTATTTCGAAATTTCAAGTTTGGAAATTTCAAGAAGGTTATCTTGCGACAACAAAGATTTTGAGATTGAAGGAAAAGGGGATGTCTGCATAAAAATTCCGGCAGAAAATCAGTGGATGTTAAAGGATGTCGGCTATAATCCGTGTCCCATGAAGAACCTGATCTCTATTGGTCAATTGGATAGCACAGGTTATGCAACAGAGTTTGGAAAGTATTTGTGGAAGACTTTGAAGGGTGCTATGGTGGTAGCACGTGGCACAAAATCTGGAAACTTATACACTACTGTAGGGTATATGAACATGGTTATTGTTGCTAAGAGTGCTTCAAATTCAAGTCTATGGCATTATAGAAAATGTGATTGTTGGGATTCAATCCGGGTCTCCATGGCCACAACGTGATATTCTCACCACTAAAGTACAACCACTTCAATATTTAAGTCATTATTCACCTGGTTCATAATTATGGACAAACCAACAAACTTCTAATTTGCTTCACCAGTTTGCTCATCTAGTGGTTTTGAGTAATGTTAATATGCTTCAATAGTTTGTAGCTAAAAAAAAACAAATGTGGCTACTTAAATTGGAGTCGAAGTCTCGGCAACCACAACATGGAATTCTCACCACTAAAAAACCACTTCGATATTTAGCTCGAATATATTCATCATAATCTAGCCCCATAACCAATCGTTTAATAACAACGTTGATTTTATCTTGACAGTTCATGATTAATGATAAACTAGCAAACTTCTAATTGTCTCCATATCATATTGTTCATATGGTGAGAGTCATCTTGACAGTTTAAAGTTAAGCATAAGCTAGCAAACCCTTTAATATTTTCGGCATAGTAACATGATTGTATCGTCGTGTAACCCAATGACATTTATAATTTTTACGAGACCATCGTAAAAAGAAATACTTCATTACGCTCAATTTCACTTTCGATTGTTGAGATTCAAGTCTAGGTCTCCACGACCACAACTTTGAATCTTTACCACTAAACTACTACATCCACTTTGATGTTTATCCCATGATTTAATACCAGTCTTGGTATCATCTTAAGGGTCTACTACAATTAAAGATAAGCTAGCCAGCCCCTAATTATCTCCAAATGTGAAATTCCCACCAATAAACTACCATTAGTTTGATACTAACCCCATGATTCATCATAGTCTAGTCTCTTGAGGATCATCTATGAATTTATCATTATCATTCAATACCCATATTGATCTCATCTTGATGGTTCACAATTAAGGATACGCTAGTAAGCTCCTAATTGTCTCCATATTATATTCTCCATATCGTATATCAATAGAGTAAACCCTTTACCATTTTCTACGTAGTAACATGATTGTATCATTTCGTAACTCATGGGCATAAAAAACAAATGTTGCCATTGGGATTCAAGCCCAAGTCTTCACAACCACAACGTAAAATTTTTACCACTAAACTATAACCATTTTGATATTTAGCCAAACATTCATCATTATATAGACTCTTAAGGCTCATTTATCAACAAGTCATTCAAAATTTGCATCATACATCAATAGAATATTTTGAGAGCCCATCTTGACAGTTTAAGGTTAAGATAAAGTAGCAAGCTCTTTATCGATTCCAGCATAATAACATGATCACATCATCTCCTAACTATATTTTTAAAAAATATATATTTTAAAAATTACTTCCTTTGAGGATGGTTTGTGTTATTTTAAACAGAACATTTAATTAAAAATAAATAAATAAATATACTAATGTTTTTTAAAATTGAAAAACAAATATATTATTTAGCTTCAAGCCTAGGCCTACTTAACTATGTCCCTACAATTCTCACCACTAAACTATAATTACAATGAATAGAAAAACCTCTTAATCAGTCCTAAGGAAGAGCTTGAGACCACAGGGAAAGTTGTCTCTTCTATTAAGTATAGAAATGAGTTAAGGCTGACATCGCGAATTTGTATATTGGTCTTAAAGAGAGACTTAGAATTATACAAGTAGTTATCTTAAAGCAAACTATTTCTATTGCATGTAGCAACAAGTTAAGGCTAAAGTTGTGATTTTGTAAATCGGTCTCAGATATTTAAAGGTGAGTATTTCTATTGCGTGTAGAAACGGAACAAGATTGATGCCGTGATTTTGTAAATTGATCTAGGAGAGAGACTTGAAACTACGTAGATAGATAGCTAAGGAAGCGAGTTTCTATTATATGTGGGAACGAGTCAAGACTGACACTGCAACTCCATAATTTCATCTTAAAGAGGGACTTGACACCACACGAATAGTTAACTCATGAGGAATGTTTTTTGAAATTCGTGACCTACATAGAAGCTTAAATAGTTGAGGGGTTAGGTCGAATTTCATTAAGGCTAGAGAAAAGCTTGTTGAAACCTATTAGGGATTTGATGCAATGAGGGCCTACAAGTAGGTTGCTTACTAGATATTATCTTTGTTGTATCAGTTCCCTTCATTTGTTGCAGCAACATGAATCAGAGACTGTCGGGTCTCCATGGAGATGATCCCCATATTGGAGGGTAGTAAGACCACCTACTCTCTAGGTTCCTCGTGTTAAACGTAGAATAGATCATATTTGTATATAGTAAGATAATCTAGTGGTTAAATCTATGATTTGGTAATAAACTAGTAAACAACTAGATTATCTTACTATATATAGATATGATCTATTCTACGTTTAAGACCTCTTTCTATGAGAACTCGTGTGTTGGGTCACGCTCTATCAAAGCCATTTCTCCTTTACCCCAATCATGCTTTTATCTCTCTCCTAGTGCTCGGAACCATGATCTTTCATGATGGAACACAATACTAATGGATGTTATTAGTTACTCATGCTTTTAAACATAGTTGTGACAAGCCATCTTAGGTAAGTGGTAGAGCGCACATCATTGTAGATCAGTATTGCTTACTGGGTATATTTATATACTCTATATCATACCCATATTTTGTATTAGGTTGCTATATATTGATGGTTTGTCACAACCATGGTAGCACATGTTGTCCCCTTGTAAGAGAGATTTATTTGAAACGAAAAAAAAGTGAGTAAAACATGATGTGGTGTCTTTGCTAGGCAAAGGATGCAATGAAAATAAATGAGTATTTTCCGGCTATTTAATTTATAGCGCCATCTGTGGAGACGGCCGAACCAACGACCATATGGTTAAAAGTCCCGCGCTAAGACAACTTGTCAAAGCCATTGTAGATTAGTATTGCTTACTGGGTATATTTATATACTCTATATCATACCCATATTTTGTATTAGGGTGGTATAATCATAAAATTATTCTCAAGATAAATAATCATTCATTGGGTATTTATAGTGCCATTTGTGGGGATCAAACCCACTACCACGTGGTTAAAAGTCACACGCTCTACCACTGAGCTAAGATGGCTTGTTACAACCATGCTAGCACGTGTTGTCCCACTTGTTAGAGAGAGTTATTTGAGGCGGAAAAAAAGTGACGATGAGAGTAAACTGTGGTATCTTTGCTAGATCAAAGATGTGAGAGACTACAAATGAGTATTGTTTATTGGGTATATTTTTATACCCATATTTTGTATTAGGTTGGTGGTATATATTGAT